AGTATAAGCAGTAATCCGGTAGATTAGAGTTTGAAGATGTTATTCAAGGAGTACAATTCAGTGAATTAAATTTCGAAATAAAGAGACAAGGAGTATTCAGAACACAAACAATGGATGCACCTGCACCATTACAAACGATTTTGAGCCATATCACTTAAGGTCTCTAACCACCGGTTGCTATCATCTCGCGGATCCCAACCAGGTAGTCTACACCTACCAATACGGCTCAATTCACTTGTCAGTGAATACATGGATCTGTGTCATGTTTTGTTCTGGCCGCCTCTAACTTTTTTCCAACCTATTCCACCATGAAACATCGCTCGTCGGGTCAGTCGGTGGTTAGGTATATGTAACACATGTTCCAGCCATCTCAACTGATGAAGTTCCATTCATCAATTGATTTTCCATCCTTACCTAGTACCCGTTTCCTAACAACTACATTACTTACTCGATGGTCCGAGGATATACGAGCAATGCTTCGAAGACACCATAAAATGAATCGCGTCTTTAATTGTCTATATTTTAGTAGCAATAAGAATCTGTTCAGTGCAGTATAAAATTCTCAATACACATCAATAAAAATTGCATTTAAAGAATGTTTGGTATGTAGTATTGTTTTGATGTGATCTCGTATTTTCTACTTAGTAATGATATAATAATCATGACTAGTCTTTATCCTCTTCACATAGACCATACTCACATGTACACACTGACACATATGTATATATACTTCTACACCGTAAATGTTTCTTATTCCATCTAATTAAGTTGTTGTTTGTATCTTTCAACTACTCTGTAGTGTTGTCTTTTTCATCATGTGAAATGAGAATTCTACTTTCCAGTATTACCATGTTACTCTAGACTCCATGTTTTGCTCGTCTACAATGGTTTAGGTGTGTGTATGTATGTATATGTAATTGTCTGTATCCATATGCTGTTCCTCCATAAAATGACTCACAAACTTTTCTGTCTAACATAAAAATTCACATACTCAGTATTATTTTATTTACAATTTACAAATTTACTTTTACTTATTATTTTGCCTTTATTTAATCGATTGTAGGTTGAGTTTTCAAATAAATTTGATATATACATAAATATCTAATAGTCTATAATGAAGTATCATACCACTGAATTATCTTTATTCAACGACCGTTGAAAAGTAGGAAGCACTAGATAGCTGTTTCTTCATTAATACAAGTCCAAGTCCCCACCGGGGATGAAATCCAAAGTCGTTAGACATTGTAGCGACCACCTAACCTCCTGATTACTAAGTTGTCACCTAATGGCTTAACATTGGTAACTTCGGTCAATTGGTGATAGTGCGTGACTATCCTCCATTGCCTCACCCCCCCCCGACTTAGTTGAAAGTTCATTGATCATGACTTCTCACTAGAACCTAGATGATTACTTCTCGAATTTAGTCACTAGTAAGCACATGAGTGTAACTATAAGGTATCGTGACGATTGTCGAGTTTGACTTGCGTTTTTAACACTGTCCTACTTCAAATTCGAATCTGATTTCGATTGGCTTAATCAGTTATTTTCGATGAGTTGAAATGAATTTTGTAGTGAAGGTATTAACTTTAACCCTAGATTACACCGCTTGATTTTGATGTGGAGAACTAGGGATGATTATGATAATGGAATTAGTCTATCCCTTAAGTTATAAACTATAATTTATTGCCTAAAACATATCAGCAGTTATGTTATCACATTTGTTCCTCGTTGTGTTTTGCTTGTGAGAAAAAAATAGTTTCTCTATTTACAATGTCTGATTTTGTTAACAACTTTGATCTAAACACTTCAATCGGTCGTATCATCTATGTATAGTATCAGTTGATGAACTACTTTTTTCTACTAGTTTTAGAAGAGAGATAGATTATGATTTGAGGTGGATACGTGTTTTGTCTTGTTTGAAACTTGTCAACTGGATGTGCATACATTTCAATGTTGATATTCACACTGAAACTCGAACCGGATACTATTGTTTTGCTTCAAACATCAACACATTATCTGTTGAGCTAATGAATCCAACTGAAGAGTTCAAGACAGGACAAAACTTGCATGTTAAACTCCACTTCTAACTACAATCCATCTGTTCCATATATATGATATGATATAATGGCTCTATTAAGATAATTCGCACAAAATGCACATATTTCAACTAAGACTAATAGAATTTCAGTAAAAAGTCGAAACGTTTATAAATAATGATATCCAGATTTTCCATGGTGGTCTAGCTTCAATTGAATCATGATCTCAACGATTAAAATTACTATAATATCCACAAAACCCCTTCTGATACTAATCAGCATATGCTCACTAGTGACTGACTTCAAGAGGTATTTCCTAGAGTTCTGGTGGAGTTCAATCTGGTCTTTTGTGAGATAATAACTCACTGAAAATAATGGTGGATGTGTTGTTCAATTTCGTGGATTAGTTGAAGTTAGACATTAACACCATTGGATGCCGGTTCAATCGTCTAGAGGTTATACGTTCACGCACGGGACCGATAGGTCCTGTGTTCGAATCTCACGAGACAGGATTATAAGTGCACACCACTGAAGAGTTCCATACTAGTAGAACGAAACGGCCATCCAGTGCTTCCAAGTTTTTCATAGTGGTCTAGCTTCAATTGACTCATAATCTTAACGATTAAAATTACTATAATATCCATAAAAAAAACCCTTCTAATTGATTTTCTCTCTATAGTTCTCTTCAGTTTACTTCATTTATTTCATTTGAGAATCATTATAATAATAGTAATAACTTCATAGTCTATCATCTTTGTTTTACATGTTTCAAAAGGTACATTCCATTTTCATAAGTTTTTTTTTTTCATTTTCCAAAATGTTTTTACAAAAAAGATGCACACAATTAATATAGTTTGTATCATATGCTTAGATATATATGTAATATCTTTATGTTTACGTCATTACCCTTGTCTCTTTTCTCCTTCTCCACACCCCCCCTCCACCATCACTACTCTAGTCAATCATTTTAATAATTACTTAAGTGGATACTTTATACATTAAAAGTATGTTTCATCATTCATATAGCAACTCATTTTATATTCTATAATTAGATAGTTGCTTATAATTTAAATTGAGTTTCTTATTGTGTGTGAATAAACTATGACGAGAACAACAACAAGAAGAAGAAAGTTACACATATTTCATTGAAAACATTACAAATACATTTTGTAGTTAAAAAATGTACATTTTGTCTGTTATTCAAAGAATAATCTGTTAAACTATGAATAGTGATTGATTCTGTGATATTGGAATTTTTCAGCTTAAAGTTATACTGTCCTTATTTCTGTAGTTGATGGAAAGTTGGAAACATTTGTAGGCTAATGGGTTGTTTGTTTGTTTTTCAACCGTAAATACCTTTGTTCACATTTTGTGAAATGATCGAATAAGTAATCATGTTGAGGTAATTGATAAAGATGACAAATCAGTTAGTGAAGTACTGAATCTTCACTCGATACGTTTAGAAGTAGGTTGAAAGGAAGATAGAAGTGTTCGAATCAAAACGTGACATCAGTTCATGAAGTCGTTGACTGTTGGTCTGTATCATATTCGTAGATGTAAACTATCTGGTTGGGATCGAAGTGATAATTGCGATCAGGGGTTGGAGACGTGTGATATGGCTCAGAATTGATCACACGGAAGCACATAATTTTTTTCCCTATCTTCTAGTTTTTAAGCACCATTATTCATGAATACGTTTTCATTCTATCTTTTTCAATCCATATCCTTAAGGTTTAGTCTTTCTTTTTACCATTGGTAATACATTGGTTTGTTCTCTTGCTATTTTTGTCTCGTCATCTTAATATGGTCTGGCAACTTGGGTCAGGCTCTGTTAGTAATATCTGTCTGTCTGTCCATCCTCAGTCAACATGACATTTATGATTAAGAGAACGCCTATGAACACTTGCGCAACGCTTGATTTATTGTTCACAGCTAAACCTTGTACACAACCCCGAGATGTGACGTCAGTTCATAGAATACTAATCTAAACCATTTCGGTATGTTCAGACCTCCTGGATATGAGACCTACCTAACAATATTTTTAATCTTTGTATCTTGAAACTTTGACTGATAAAGCGCGAAATTCGTTATCATGGCACAGTTGCACTCATTCTACCTACCTTTCTACAAACTTTCAGTCAACTTTTCATCATGTGAACTGTCAAATTCTCATGCTTAAATTCCCATTGTAATTAAAATTAATCTCTCTTCTCATTTTGTTAATTCTTTGAGGAGTCCCACAATAGGACGAAACGACCGTCTAGTGCTTCCAGGTATTCCATGGTGGTCTAGCTTCAATTAACTCATGATCTAAACTATTGAAATTCCCTATCTGTTCATATTAGTATAAGATGAAATATTCTGTCAACCGGTTATAACACAGAGTTTAAATTGCCGTACCTACATTAACACAATAATATAAAAGCAACATATTGCCATAATTAAGCAGTCGAAATAATTATAATATCAATGGTAGTGAGAAAGATTAAGGATTAAGAATATGGTTCAAGAAGAAAGGATAATAAAGGTACACATGAAGGGACACTGGTAATCAGATATCGATAAAAAGTGAATTAACCTACTCTACTGTGACCTATTTTTAGGCATATAGATCGTTGATCACAGTTATTGTGGGAATGCTGACCAGAAATTCTGCACTTACTGACATAGCTTAGACTAATATGTACCTCATATCGATATAGGTATCAAGACATATGTAACACCATTCCCTTATTTCCTTAGTTGGTAAAGATTCACAACTTCGTCGTTCGATTTCCTATATTTGCTTAATATACTTTCTTTAGGCTCAACAGTACATTCATGCTAGTATTTAAGATTGATCATAACTGGTTTCTATTTTTTTCCTAAATATAAACTTGTATATTGTGGACAGTGGTTACCACTGTCCACAATAATCATATGTAATAGTTGTTTTGTTAAAAAAAGATTCTTTTTATTTTGTAGGTCCACATAATTGGCCACCATTCCCTCCATTCTGTCCATGCAAACCATGTGTTCGACAAGATTTTGAAAATGATATTCCATTCGATTGTCGATGGATGGCGAAAATGGGTTATGGTATTTGGTTGGGCTATGCTATCTTGTTAATATTCAATATGTTTGGAGCACTAGGCTATTTTATTGTTGGTAATGGTGCAGCTGAAGGACCATTGTTTGGTGCATCAATTTTATTAGTGCTTGTTATGCCACCTATCAGCTTTTTCGGATGGCATCGACCTTTGTATAAAGCATTAAGGTAAATGTTTGTCCTTTTTTTCAAAAATATTTCTCAATATCAGTGTAGAGGAGATTTTTAGAGATCGCAGAACTTTTCGTAGTTCAAACTACTAAGTGATCCTAGTTAGACAGCCAATCAATGCTTTATTCAGCTCAGCGAACAAATCCCCACTTAAAACTATGTATCAGTTCATTGTCAAATTTGAACTACTTTCTAGTCGATTCATTTAAAATTGTATTAACTGATATTAAACCTTATCAGTTTATAAATTAGGATTTATACATACATGCATAATATCATGACTGAATCGCCAATTAGAACACGACTTATATGACCTTGGCACTGTGCCAAATTAATGACGCGTTATTCAGTACTAGCAGCCTCGAGTCAACTTTGAGTCCTTATTGGTCCTCTGTACAGTAGCTTCTCATCTTGCCCTAGCTGTTCAGTTCAGAATACTATATCAGCTTTCACTGTATGTATCACATATTTCAGACATACGTAATTTTATACAGAAACACACCAGACCGCATCATATCATAAAATAAATAATAATAATTACACAAGATCAAGCCAAAGTGATTGTGAGTATGGGATAGTGTAACTAAGAATGGTAAATCGTATTGCAGTAGCCATTAGGTCAAATGAAAGCTCATGGTAAAAGGAATACGAATATATTCGGTCTAGTTACTTAATATTCATACCAATAAGAAGAAATATTTAATAACAATTTACAAATAATTCCCGCAAGTTACCATTCACATTTATTCTTCATTCGGACATAACAAAATCTATTTACTTTCTAACTTATTCATTAAGAATATTACCAGGTAACTTATAGTAATGAAGTAAACAAATTCGAATTCAACTGAGCGTTCTTCAGTTTCAATTAACAATCATGTATTTCAAGACTTGGTAAATTAGTATGTTTGAATTAAGTAAATAACTTTATATTTCCCCAACACGTTATTTATTTTTATTATTTAAACACATTGGTACATGGAGGCACTAAACAGGTATATGCCACATAAATCATTCGACTTATGTGAGGGTTGGGATACTGCCCGGGTAACCAAACCGAAACAGGAGATAACAGCCGGAGCCTTCAACCCACAGGTCTAGTTCACAAGACAGTGGAGCAACGTAAGAAGATGCAGTCTCATGGTAACCGGTGACCAACATTTGGTTCATACGTCATTTTTTCCTTCACGATGCTGGAGCCCATGTATGTACACCATTAGTTTGGAATCAGGGTTTTCCAACTCCCCTAGGTGGATCCTCCATATCTTCCAACCTGGTTAAAGCTTCACTTTTCGTCCTCTCAATTTCATAAACAACACCCCTGCCGCGAAAAGATTGAGTAGGACTTCCCTGGCAGTGGTTGTGCGCACGTGGCTATGTGAGAACATTTCGAAAGCGAGAGCTGACTCCCCACTCTCGACCGTACCAGGGCATTTGAGGGCTAACACGCAGTTCTTTTAATGTATCTAGATTCCAGTTATTAAATCTGTCAGTTCTTAATGGCTATGTATCTGACACCAATTAGATCATACGATGATTGTCTTCGAAATATACATACCTTGAACCCTCGTATATTTCTATCGTCTCAATTCGCGCTATAGAAATAATGGAACAAAATACGCCAAATATGAGAAGGGATTTTGAATATGTATATTTCTCACTTTCATTGATCCAAACAGACAATTAGAGAAACAAAACGAAATGACGTACAACGAAGAGCCAACTCGAGTTGATCAGACGTAACGCAATATTTATATCCAGACAAAAAGAAAGTACAGACATGTAATGAATAGGGTGAGCAATTAGCATAAATACGATCAAGTAAAAAAGGGTCAGGATTAATAAACGAACAATTGACAAGGTCAGAGTGTGGCTTGAGAAGAATGAACAAATGGGTCTGTCCACAAGCTAGAATGACCTATGTGGTCTTGACATAATATCATCCTCCACAAGCCCCAAAATGCCCTGGTACGACCGACGGTGGGGGAAATCAAAATCTCGAAATGCTCTCACATGGCTACGTGTATACAACCACTGCCAGGGAAGTCTTACTCACTGCTTTCTCGAGCTCGGGGTGTTCTTTACGAAATTCGGAGGACGAAAAGCGCTTTAACCGGATTGGCGGACACGGAGGTTCTATCTAGGGGAATTGGAAAAACCTGATTGCAAACCACTGGTGTATATGGGCTCCAGTATCCTGAGGGAACAAATGGCGTATGAACCAATTGTTTGTCACCGGTTACCATGGGACTACATCTCCTTACGTTGCTTCACTGCCTTATGAATCATACCTTTAGGTCAGAGGCTCCGGGTCTGGACCTCTAAGACGACCACCTGCTTCGGTCTGAGAACTCGGACAGTATCACAGCCCACATACAAACCAAGTGACTTGTGTAGCGCATATGTATTCGGTACCCCTTTGTACCAATATTTGTGTTCAAATATATAAATAAATAAATCTATTCAACGTACTTCTGTCATTAATTATCATATCTCAAGTTATAACTCATTGCTGAGTACATACAAATTTGTAGTTAGTGTAATATATCACTATAAGTTGAACACATTTTCTTTTCACTTTCATATAAACCTAATCATCTTTTGATATATCTTTCTCTCTTATTTCCATTTTGTTTACCTTAATAGATCAGATAGTTCAGCGAATTATTTATTATTTTTCCTTTTCTTTTCTGGACAAACCGTTATTGTTTTAATACAATGCCTTGGAATTGATTATCTTGGATCATGGTAAGCTTGAATACATGTTTTTTTAAAAAAAAATAAAATATTAATGTCAATACGTACCTATTCTGTTTAGAATAATCTCATAGACTTGCTGTAAACACCCTTTTCCTTATATTAAACATGAAGAGTACTTTGCTCAGAATTATGGTAATTAAAATTGCACTTTGTACTTATTCAATACATTATTGATCCAACTGATATAATTGTTATTGCTAGATAAATCAATTTATCTACTTCTATTTCTTTCTTCCCATAGTTTTCCTCCCTTTCTCTTCTTCCTTTTTCTCCTCCCATCCTTCTTCTTTCTCTCCTCTTCTTCGTCTTCTCCTGTCGCTTAATTAGTTCAATCGATTTGATGATAAGATGAAGCCTACAATTTATAAAATACCTTCTAACTTACTTTATTCTTTCACCTTCATTGATCATAATAGTTTTACATTTCTTTTATTAGTGACTTGTTGGTTTTTTGTTGCTATTGGGACCTTTTAGACAGTTTTTTGTTATGGCATTTTTTATGTCATATTTATATGAGTTACCGTAGATCGATATCGAGTGAAACGAACAATCAACTGTGTGTGATCAATGAAAATTCAGTAAACAGTCCTAGTTATTATTTTTACCAAGTGACAATGTGTCTATTTTCTACTCTCTCTCTCTCTCTCACTCACTCACTCACAAAATCATAATTTCTTGTATTAATTGCAAACAGTTGGTTGATTCTATCTCTCTTAGAGTATTAGAAACTGTTTTTATAAGTTTAAGTAGACTAGACTAGATTAATAGTACCATAACAACGTTGGTATTACATAACTTTGAAGTTATTATCGGTTGTGTTGAACTTGTTACCCTAAACAAGGTTGTAAATATCATACCTCTATACCTAACTGTCACATTTTCAATGAATCATACACATCTTAGTCAGTGTACGAAACATATGTTCATTATAACTAGTTTAATTAGTTAATAGAATTGGAAATTCTGTACACTTATCATATGTTTATCACTTTTATGGGATTACTACTTTAGTGAACGAAGATTCATATGGGGAAGACCAATTTATTGTTTAATGCAAAATCACAGTGTTTGAGTAAAATATGAAATCCATACATTCAATGCATCATTTACATATCTTCCAATGTAGGAGAAATAATTGTAATTGAAGAGGGACGTTGATTACTTACCTTGTAAGTTTGATCAGCCCTAATGGGTTGGTGTCTGACGAAATCTCAGCACGGACTCGAAAAGCTCGTTTGGTTTTTGCCAACTTATATCACCCTAGCGAAGGCGAGATATCCGTCTATCAATAAAAGGACGAGTATACTGCGCGGCAGTTCGTTCTATTCTACTTTACGGCTGCGAAACATGGCCATTAAGAGTCGAAAATATTCGTAAGTTACTAGCATTTGACCACAGATGCCTTAGAAATATTTCTGGCATCTGCTGGTATCACTGGGTAAGTAATGATGAGGTTAGACGCAGGGTATTAGGGAATGATGGTGAATCAGTTGATGAGGTTGTGAATCTTCATCGACCTAGATGGTTAGGCCACGTGCTACGTATGCCTGAACACCAATTACCACAACGCGCAATGCTGACAAGTGTTGGAGATTGTTGGAAGAAAGTTAGGGGTGACCAAACGAAGACGTCATTGAAGTCACTAACTTCTGGTCTTAACAATGTTGGTAGACACAGACTACTTGTTTGGGGTCGGTGTGACTATCGTAACCAATTGTTGGAGACTGTGTGACATGGCTCAGAATCGACTAGAATGGCGTCGGTGTATACACTCTGTGTCTTCCCTTAAAATAAGAGATTAAAATCGCTTCATACCCTTCTTTCTACGAATTAATTCGTTCTTCGTGTATTTTATCTTTATATGCAGTCTTTCTTTTATATATTACCACTATTGAATGAACTACTTCTATAAATTTGGTGTTCATCTTGTTGTGCTAATGAGGTATGGCAACTTGGACCGATGTATCTGTGTACCTGGTCATACGTTGTAGCTGACTAACATATCTTTGCATCAGTTGTCTCTGACAAACCTTATTATTTATTCATTCCTGTTTTTTTAATAACAATTACTCTGTTTACATTCCCGTTTTCTTGAATTTGATCTTCTCAATCTTCTGTCTTGCATTCCACTTCTGTTTGGTATGGCATACTACTTATATCTGTCAACATAAATAGCATACACTACACCACCAATTGTTAATCCATATATAAAGTAAGGTTTGTGTATTTCACTTTGATTTTGATGGGAAACGAAAAACATTTTATAGCATTAACTATTGTTGATCAAACTGAAGGCTATCAATTTAACATCGTAGTTTTGTGCAACCATGTGAGAAAGTTTAAGTTTTTGGTTAGTTACGATAATCTTTTCTCTCTCTCTTTCTCTCTCTCTCTCCGTATCTTAACTGATTCATTCATCATGATAAACAGTGCATAACATTCATCAGTACTGTATAAAATGCAATAATCAATCAGAATCAATACATAAAATCTTGCATAGTCAGTCATATGATAAATGTATATGGTATAATGTAGATCGAATGAAATCACTTTGAGGAAACTTAAGAACTATCTATATTCAATTAATTCAGAACTCAAATAATACTACTAATCAATACAACTAGATATTCCAATTAAAAGTCATAACAACAAGAAGAAGAACAAGAAGAATAGAAAACAAAGTTGTTAAAACGTTTTGAGAATAAATAACTGAACCGGGTTGTTTTTTTTTCAATACGGGTACAAATAGTATAATAAATGAATTTTTTATAAAATCTATATTTATGACACTTCCATTTATGAAATTCTTTAAACTACTATAAATAAACAATAATTAAAACAAAATATAGTTGCAACATAAAAATTGTTAACCCAAATAGATTTAAAGGCCAAAAACAGTTTAAATAAGAATTATCCAACATTTTAAAATATTATACCGTCAATTGTGTGAATAGATCAATGGTGTTACATAAAAGAATATTGATTTTCATTTGAATCATTTTTATGCTATTCACATCTGTCATTAATGTTAACACTACTATGGCGTTTCGTACGCAAGACCTATCAGTCTTGCGTACGAATCTCGCAGAGCGGGGTCGTGGATACGTACTGCTGAGGAGTTCTATACTAGGAAGAAATGACTGTCCAGGTTTCCCATGGTAGTCTAGCTTCAGTTGACTTATAAATTCAAATATTAAAATTGTTTAAATCTCCATAAACCGCCCTTCTGATAAAATGAAATCTACCGTGAAAATTAGCCTCCTACACGCGGTACTTATTAAATGGACGAGAGAAAAAAATGGCTTGATACCTCATACACGTTGAACATTAGAAAGAAAACGGATACGTCGCAAATTCATGAACATATATCCTAAATTATAGAGTATAAAAACGAAATTTAATCAACCCCTAAACTTTTTCCAGCCACTTCCTAGATGAATAATTTATGGAAAAGATAACAATAGTGTAAATAGGTTTTAAATAATTAGTGAATCTTTTTTTAAAGTCATCTATAGGTTACTCTGTTTGCTAATCGAAAAAATAAAACAACATACAGATTGAAATCATGAGTCAATTGAAGCTAGACCACCATGGAAAACCTGGAAGCACTGGACGGCTGTTTCGTCCCAGTATGGGACTCCTCAGCAATGCACATCCACGAACCCGCGCTCCGGGAGATTCGAACCCCGGACCTATCAGTCTAGCGCCAGGCGCTTAACCAACTAGACAACCACTGATTCATGATTTCAACCTGTGAAATTTCTAAAATCTCCGCAAACCCCTTCTGATAACATATAGATTTATCCAAACGGATATAGATTATCTATGTTCTCTAACATTCACAAAGATCAATAAAGAGATTTCTAATTCTCCACATTGTTTTTTGTTAGAATTAGGGTTTTGAATCATGAACTCATATTAACCTTAATGTCAAGTGATCTGTAACTATATGAATAACTGGATATCGCAAAAGTATTCCAACAGCCGTTATCTAACTAGTTTATTCATAGACTTTATTCTTACCGGGTTAATGTTTTATTTCAAGATTAAGTGCTTTGATTTAGTGATAGTGTCTATTTTCTTCAAAGATAGAATTAAGCATTTGATACGTTTAACACCATGATTTTAACCTATATTGTTGAAAGTAACTTTTTTGTTTGTTGGTTATTTTAAACTTTCAGAGCGCTATACAAAGTTATTTCCACAGCTCGTCGTAATATATGACATTTGAATTTCACCCAAAAACCTAAAAGGTTGCATTCTCGATTCTCATCTCTAAACTATGCTTGTACCACTTTCAAACAACTCAAAATATGGAAGAAGAAAACAAGTATCAGTATATTGCCAACAGTAATTTATATAGTTAGAAATAGGATGGTTGTACGGTAATGACAGTTCGTGATGATAAGACAAGTGGCAATGAAATAGCAATTAGGGTTTGTAGATCAGCAATATCACAATTGATTGATCACTGGATGGTGATCAATGTCATGCTTGTCTAGTCCTTATTAGTGCAGATCGAATGCTATCGATCATGTTGCAATGTGGCCACCAGTCTAGGTGACTCGACACTGCGGGCACTATGTATTGAGATTTAGATGGTGGTTGGAGGTAGTCAACAGGAAACCATGGACCCGGGTTTCGTGCTATTTGGCACTCGTCAGTAAGGTGTACCTGTAATCTTGAGGGAACTGGTGCTCCCTGGCGGATTCGATCTCGTGTCACCCAGCTTCACAGTCAGAGACGTTACCACTGAGCTATCCGAGCCGTGACTATGTGACTTATGTAAACATAAGTAAAATACACCACACTGGTATATCCAGACTACTAGGTTTAGGAGATGTTAAGTGAAGTGGTTCATGATCGATTACATTTACTAGATAGTAGTATAATAAGAACTAGACAAGCATGACATCGATCACCACCCAGTGATCAATCAATTGTGATTACATCTCAGTCCTACAGGAGGTTAGTCACGGCTCGGATAGCTCAGTGGTAACGTCTCTGACTGTGAAGCTGGGTGACACGAGATCGAATCCGCCAGGGAGCACCAGTTCCCTCAAGATTACAGGTACACCTTGCTGAAGAGTGCCAAATAGCACGAAACCCGGGTCCAGGGTTTCCTGTTGACTACCTCCAACCACCATCGAAAAGATCAGCAATATATATATCAAGGATTTACTCAATGCTATGCAAATGAAAACATTGCTTTTTGCAGGTTTTTGTTCACTGTGAAGATGACTCGAATAATGTTATACTGGATGGACTTAGAACATTTTTTTTACCTTCTGTATACTACACTACTACGATAAGACTGGACTAAATGGTCAACTTAATAATACTTCTAGATTGAAAACGCGAACGATCCGTTATACACAGACAAGACCATGTTATATCAGACATCTGATTCATGACCAAAGTAACTCTGGACAATACTTTACTCCATACCATTACAAGCAGTCGGTCTCAATGAGTCTGGAGCAGTAAATCAATCACCTATTGAATAGTCAATAAGCTGTGTGACTGTTTTTCCACATCCCTTGACCAATCACATTTACTTTCACTAATACACATCAAATAACCAGGGTGTTATGATTATTTTTTTTAGTACATATCTACTTCTGCTGCTTTTCATCCATCCAACCCACCTGTGCAGTAGGACATACATCAAACAACTCATATACCCTAGCACCAAAGCAATACGTCAAATCACAATAAATCTACATTAAATTAGTTAAATTCAAGGACTTGTCTTATGGGTTTAACATATTTATATTATGCATTAGTGTCTCAGTAGTTAAGGTGTTCGATATCCAAGTTCGAGTCTTGTTTTATTGACTTCTCAGTTTATGTAACTGAAATAATAATATCATCCTTTAGCCTTCAAACATTGAAAGTATAACTCTCATAGTCAAATATACAAATGTTTACTTAGTAAATAAGTTAAATAAAAATATTGATCATATCACTACAAAAATAGTAGTTTTGTGGAATTTATGGACGAGCCAATCATCTATAAGATAACAAGTTTCGGATTTTGGCGCGAAATTCACTCATCTATTTGGTTAAATAGAGTATTGGTATTATAGGTGATGTTAGTTCGTGATGAAAACATTAAATCTAATTCCTCACACACTGGTTTATTACCCTCATTTAGTCTTGGTTATTAGGTGAACACTCTCAAGGTCAATTTCGCATCTCCCAAAATGTCATCCATAAGTTACAGTTCTACTGAATTTCTCTAAATAAGCATAATTTATCTCATTGTATTAATACAACATTTAAAAACAACCTAATTTTCTTTTTCTCTTTTATATAACCTTTCTATAAAACAATTTGAATGTGTTATATAGTGGTTGGATTAATGGTATAAAAACTATAAGTCGTAATGATGGTGTTGGTGTTCTAATGTTATTGATTGCTACAATATTCAGTATACTTGCAGGATTTTGTAGTTTCCTGTTATTTAAGGTAAATTTTAATTATGGTTTTTCTCTTCTTTTTTTACTATTGTTGTTGTTCAAACTGAAATCTTTTCAACTTTTGTTGTTTGTATATTCATGTTTATTCGATAAATATGTATGCTAAAGTAGAGCTATGATGAAAAGCCATGACTGATGAAGTTTAACTGTGTCGAATATTGAAACAGTAATTCATTGTAGGCAATAGATGAGGATCGCGAGGTGTTGTGATTTAATGGAAGTGAGATATTAGCACCATTGGATACGGTCCTAGTTATCTGGAGCTTTAGCATTCGCTTGTGAAACCAAAGTTCCCGAATTCGGTTGCAGGATACGAAGTCGTGGATGCGTGCTGCCCCTGAGAAGTTCCATACTAGGATGAAACAGTCGTTCAGTAGTTCAAGATTTTAAATGTTTGTCTATTTAAGCCTATTTGTGGTTTAAACTGTAAAAATTCCTCAATAGTTTATGTTAGACGTAGAAGCGAATATACATTTGAAAATTTGTTGAGCATTTCATATTTATTGTCGACTAAACTGTTTTTATCAAAGTTTACAGATCTTTTGATCTTATTGATAATGGTAAATTGACTAAAGCTGAGAAAATGGGTGTACGAAAGCTGGGAGTTTCAAGTATGATCTACTGTGAGATTATAAGTGTACTATGCTGATGAATTTCAAACTAGGATAGAATTCAAAAGTTTGTTTCAAAGGTGTTGCATGTATGGTTTCAAATTATATCTTCCACCGTTAGCTACATATTTTGAATTGCTGTTAATACTAGTTGTTAGTATAGTTGGTATGTTGTTTGCAGTGTCTAATGAGAGACTGGTGTTTCATTCCATTTGGGAGTTGTCAGTAGATGTAACTGTATGCCAGTCTTGATGCTCACACAGACGCCATATTGAGACACTGGATTCACAGTAGAAATATGGCAAGAGAGATTGGTCAATTACAGTTATGAACATGATAAAGAAGTGATTACAAGTGAGGATGTCATGGCGTTTGTTTGTTAATTAATGTTGATGCAAGTGAAGACGAATGGGGCATGTCTATTCGATAAATACATATACTGAGATATTTAGTTTGTTAGTGGAAGTTGAAAACAAAAAACTTTCAGGAATTACATGAAACATTAATGACTGTTTTCTGAAGATAACACATTGAATAGAACAATGTTCTTGTTAGTCACTTGATTATTTTAATGATAATCGTTAAGTGAGTTCGATCGTCTTATGTGTAGCTTCCTGTGTGTTTTGATTTTGACATTCACTGTCGAGATTACTTCTCATTGGAAAACTGTGTTCGCAAGATCATAGTGTAACATGTGAGGTTAAGAATAAATTGAAAGAAGGTGGTTAAAGAAGTTGATTTTTGAGGACTTCCAAGGATGTTTTTAATATTGAAGACGTTGATGAACATGTGTACTATCTAGTGTACACAAGTAAGACAACATTAAGGTATTTCTCTCAGACAACCAACTCTTGTAGCTATACTAGCTTACAACGGTGGGATAAGGTTAGAAAAGTTTAATTCTAAAAGAACCATAACTTACCTTCTAGTAATAACATTTTTAAAGTAAGGAGCTGACAACACATCTAGTCATTTTTTATAAAAAGACCGTGTGTTCTAGGTTCTTCGGCCTCAGGTCTTCATGATGACCACTTCTAAACCAGTTTCTTTTTCAGCTCATTCAATGTGAAATATCTTCTCATTATTTATTACATTACATTAATTCGTTGATCAGATACTTGGATATGTCACACTCCAAGTGTACCATCCGGGCGCCTAACCTGAAGTTGACGAGGCGGAGTTCGATTCACGAATATAATTATCTGTAACAATATTTGTAGATCCAACCTAGGAATTTCCACATACACAATAGTTTCAACATAAATTTATATTAGTAGGGATTTTTGTCGATATTATGGTAATTTGAATAGTTGAGATCATGAGTCAATTGAATGTAGATGGGACTGTTTAGGAGTCCTATACTAGGATGAAACAGCCGTCCAGTGCTTCCAGGTTTTCCATAACGGTCTAGTTTCAATTGACTCATACATTAAAAATCAAATCCACTTATTTCACTATACTATTTTGTGTTATTTTTATTTTCGTAGGTTCATAGATATTATCGATCGTCTGGAGCAAGTTTACATAAAGCTAAACTAGAAATGGCCAATGCAGGAGTATTTGAACGTTCCGGAGGATTCGGTGCAATGCCATAATTGAAGAAAGAAAGAAAAGGAGAAAACAAACAATAATAAAATAGTAGACAGGCAATTTTTTTATATTAATCAGTTTACTTGTAACACAGTTTAATCAATATGGATACAGTTTTTTTTTATATAAAAAAAAGAAAAAGAAAAAAGTAACCGGACATATTCTGTCCTCACATATCCACCCTTAAAACCTCCAGTGATATCTTATTTTTTTTCTCTCTCTTCTGTTCTCTTCTCTTGTCTCTATGCCCAATGTTTGTTGTTGTTTTTCTCTGTTTGTTTGTTTGTTTTTTATTAAAATTTTTAACTGTGATTGTTTTTGTTAAGTTTTACATGTAAAGAATAAATAACCAAATTAACCTAACCAACTAACGGCTGCGAGATTGTTTTGTTTTCTTTCTTTTTTTTTATTCAAAAATTCATCTATTTCCAATGATAAATGCTCATATATATCTATATAAACAAATACACCACCTTCCTCACCCACCCCCACACATGCTCATGCACCGTTTAATAATAACATGACGAGTACTTTTCTGTTTTACGTCTTTTTATTTATTGATATATTGAAAATAAAGAAAAAGCCAATCATCTCTTCTTCTTTTTTTAACTCATGGGTGGTATGGGTAGTCTTCTTCTGTATACTCATAGTTGTTGTGGTCTTGTTCATTATGATCACCGACTTTGTTTACCTTCACCATGATTACTACTTCTTACTACTACGACTACTACTTTTCTCTGTTTCAATCTGTCCGTTATATTTGTGAGTGCTTTTCATAGGATTTAGCTTTCGTTAGTGTGTTTGTTGGTTAAATCAAATGGATTGTATGGTATTTTTCACACATACATACAAACGAGAGAAAAAAACTTGTTTCATCATGTGTTTTTGTTCTCTTCTTAACCCCGTTTTCTTCTTGTTCTTCTTTTTATTATTATTATCATCATCATTATCGTCATGTATTAACTTGACAGAATTAAAATTAAATGAAAATCATTCATAAGATTTGTTTCTATAATGTTTGTTTTATTACTTACTTCAATACATTATATTATGAAGTTTGTTTGATTGTGTTAGTATCTTGATTAAACCATGGTACCTTCTTTAAGGGGGGGGCGGCGGGGTTTCCAGTAGTAGTTAACCTATAGTAAATTGTATTCATAATAAACAATTGAGATTTTTTCTTCTTTACTATGATTCAACGAATGAGAAGTTGAATATATCAAACTTTCGATACACAACAACAATAGTAATAACACTTCAAAGTTAATAATCTATACACTCTAATATAAGATAGAAACGACATGACTATCACGATAGATTTATATTCCAAACTGAAGTTGATAATTGAAAAGGAACAACATGTTAATAACCTTGAAGCATATGAAGTTAGTAAACTTTAAAAGAAATAACGACCAATTAGATGACCGGAAAAAAAATCATTACAAATACGAGTTAGTGGAACGTTATACAGTTTCAGTCAACTACAACGTAGGACCAGGCACATACATGCATCGGTCCAAGTTGCCATACTTCATTAACACAACAAGATGGACACCGGATTCATAAAAGTAGTTAATTCAATAGTCATAATATATAAAAGAAAGATTGCAATAAGGATATAGTACAGGAAGAAAGAATTAGTTCGTAGAAAGAAGGGTATGAAGCTATTTTAATCTCTTATTTTAAGGGAAGACACAGAGTGTATACACCGACGCCATTCTAGTCGATTTTGAGCCATGTCACACACAGTCTCCAACAATTGGTTACGATAGTCACACCGACCACAAACAAGTAGTCTGTGTCTGCCAACATTGATAAGACCAGTAGTTAGTGACTTCAATGACTGATGCCATGTCTTCGTTTGGCCGCCCCTAACTTTCTTCCAACACTTGTCAGCATTGCACGTTGTGGTAATTGGTGTTCAGGCATACGTAACACGTGGCCTAACCATCTCAGTCGATGAAGATTCACAACCTCATCAACTGATTCAGCATCATTCCTTAATACCCTGCGTCTAACCTCACAATTACTTACCCGGTGATCTCAGCAGATGCAAGCAATATTTTTAAGGAAGCTGTGCTCAAATGCTTGTAGTGTCAGTTACTATGTTAAGCACCATATACTGTATTCTAACTTTCAGACACCTCATTCTATTTATTCTACTTGAGTCATATTTTGACCTTGTCAATCATTCGCTTATCAGTCTAGACTGTTTTTATATGAGCGTATATGTGTGTACACTTCATATTCCATGACTCACCACATGTCTGTAGTTTATTTTGTCTGCCTATAAATATTCAGTAACGCTTGACTAAAAATGAGTTGGCCTACCAGTCATCTCCACTGCGCATCATTTGTACTTGGCTTCATCATGTGCTTGGTTGCTGTACGCTTGCGGATTTTTATTAATCATTAACAATAAATTATCTCTATAACTGGTGTTCAGACTTTTGAATAATCTCGAGTAAATCCGTAATTCTATTAGGAGATTAAGCCTACCTTAAATACTCAGTTAACGGGATATTATTTGTTGGAGTCAGATATTGAAGCCAGAACAAGCTTAGGAATATTTTCGACTCTTAATGGCCACATTTCGCAGCCGTAAAGTAGAATAGAACGAACTTCCGCGCACTATACTCGTCCTTTTATTGATAGACGGATATCTCACCTTCACTATAGATGACATAAGTTGGCAAAAGCCGATCGAGCTTTTCGAATCCATGCTGAGATTTCGTCGGACACCAACCCATTAGGGCTGATCAGACTTCCAAGATAAGTGAAATCAACGCGTTAGACTACTTCACTCCCTATCCTTGTTCAGTTATACAGTTGACCTCATTAGCACTTTAAACTACAATACGGAATTAGTTTATGGAATCATTGCCTATTGATCTGAGATGTATTAACAGATGCAGACTATGTGATGATACTTAAGATTGATATGATAACTGAAGTCAATGATTGAAATGAATGTAATACTATTTTTGTTCAGTATAAGCATCATCAGAACACATTACACCGAGAAATGGAGACAGTTAAGCGAAGAAGAACAAGATCTGTAGAATAGCATGAGTTCATAGTTTCTCATCAGATAAAAACGGTTCCGAAGTTACATTGGTACTTACTTACGCCTGTTACCACTTGTGGAGAGTCATAGATTGCCCATCTGAATTCTCTATCCTGAAAAATCCTTTCCAGTTGCTATTCATCCTTTTCATGTCTGCTTTCAATTTTCGACACAGCATGTTTTTCGGCCTTCCTCTCTTTTGTTCCTCTTCAGGTTTCCAAGTTAAGGCTTGCCTCGTGATGCAATTTGATGATTTCCATAATGTATATCCTATCCACTTCCAGCATCTTACCATAGTTTCCTCTTCAACTGAAAGTTGGTTTATTCTCTCCCATAGTAGGCTATTGCTAATGGTATCCGGACATTCAGTATCATGCGTAGACAATTATTTATAAATACTTGTATCTTTTTGATGATGATTGTAATAGTTCTCCAAGTTTCACCTCCCGTACAATAGAACTACCTTGACGTTCATATTGAAGATTCTCACTTTAATATTGGTCGACAACCAGTTTTTTTCAGTCCCATCTATTCTTCAATTGTAGAAATGCTTCCCATACTTTGCCAATCCTCACTTTTACATCTGCAATTTACATTAATAATATTATTTGTAAAACGTTTTAATTACACACCATAATCAATGAAGTTTAATTTGCAATCAGAAGAGGGAACAACATGGTTAACATAATAGCTAAGACTGATCAGTGTATGTGTATGTTGAAGATAAAATCATAAAAAAATGATAACCGGGGGGGGGCTGAGATTGTAAATGATAATCAATAGAAATAACTTAGCAATAATCAAGGCACTTAATTGGCATCATACTCATCAAGTTAACATCGTAAATGAATGTCAGTAACATTTGATTATTAAAATTGATAAATAGATCATTTCATATACAAACTATCTAACTGTGGTAACAAGAAGTTTATGAAATCACCATTCTGTATAAAAAAAAGTAAGTTTTGAAAGCGATCGATGGTAATGGCCTTTACAGATCGGAGTAGAAATGGTGTTCTTTACAATATATAACATTTATGTTATCAACTAGGTGTCTTGATTATCACTCATCTGTTAACAATTTGTTTTTATTTATGTTATGTTTATTATCATTTACAACTTTAACCCCTTCATTGAATAACTTCATTTTCAAAACATAAGGAATATGTATCAGTCTTAGTTATTATGTTGTTTCGTCTTTTTATTTCGAACCGAACTTCATTGGTTGAGGTATGAAAATTTTTTACATATTGATATTACTAATGTAGATTGACGTTGTTTACAGTTGATGAAATGCGTCGAAATATAATTCACGCTATACTGTAAGTCTTGCTTTTTTTCGCCCTGGTACAGCCGAAAGTGGGGAGAGTCAACTCTCCTTTTCGAAATACTCTCACATGGTCACGTGCATAAAACCACTGCCGGGGAAATCCTACTCACTGCCTTCTAGCACCAGGGATGTTGTTCACGATATTGAGAGGACGAAAAGCGAATGTCCGATGGGATTTAAACAAGGTTGATGGATACGGAAGATTTATCTTGGGCAGATGGAAAAACCTGATTCCGAACCAATGGTGTACATGGGCTCCAGGATCCTTAGGAAACAAATGGCGTATGAAAATATTGTTGATCACTGGCTATCATGGGACTGCACTCCTTAGGTTGCTTCACTGCCTTGCGGATCAGACCTCTTGGTCAAAGAGTTCGGATGTAACCTCCCTAAGAAAACTACGTGTTTCGGTTTGAGCACTCGGGCAGTATCCTAGCCTTCACGCAAGTCGAATGATTTATGTGACGCATACCTGTTTGGTACCTCCTTGTACCAGTGTTTATGTGTTTAAATAAATGAATTAATTAAGAAATGACTTTTTAGTGAAATTTGTTTCCTTCATCAGTTTTGAACAAAATTAAGGGAAGCAATACTTGTAAAGTATCGATAGATTTATACTTCTTGTATTTCGTTTGTTTTCTTCTTACAGTTAACATGTTTAGCTAACTTTAAAAAGGTTATATTGGCGGAATTTTAATCAGCGAAGAATAAATTATTTGGCAGGTATGTTTTAGCAGTTAAAGTTTTGATCGTAGCTAACAATGAAACTCAGAATGAGTGTCACATCTTATGTAGGACTTCCCAACTGGACATACATCCATCCCAGTGTTGGTGTTAATGCTGAAACTCAAATCCGGTACTGTTTGCTTCTAACGTGGGACTCATTTAGCTACTGATTCCAGATAGCCACTGACTTGTACAAAAGTCATTTACATGATTTCAAACACTATCAATGTATCAGAAGGGGTTTTTGTAAATATTATAGTAATTTCAGTAGTTAGGATTATGAGTCAATTGAAGCTAGATCACCATGGAAAATCTGGAAGCACTGGACTGCCGTTTCGTCCTATCGTGGGACTCCTCAGCAGTGCGCACCCACGACCCCGCCGCGCGAGATTCGAACACAGAACCTATCAGTCTCGTGCCCATCTGCTTATCCACTAGACCATTGAGACGGCACCCAAAGGTGTTAGTGTTTAACTTCAAATAATCCACGAAATTGAGCTTCGAGCTTTTCCATGGTGGTTTAGCTTCAATTGACTGATGATCTCAACTATTGAAATATCAATGTATATTTCGTGTACCCATAGAAAAATAACTGACACAACACAAAATGGTTTCTTAGTATACATTACCGAAAAACGATACCATACATATAAATGTGTATCTCATCCAGTAACACAGTGGGTAATATGAACAGGTAATGGATTTTCAGAAACGAAACAATGAAAACAAGTGAATGAAAATGTTAGTTCCGAATTTATCTACTTTAAGTAGTATAGAGAATTAGTGCAATTTCTTTACCTAGCCTACGTTAGATATTTGAGTCTGATGGGATTGATCAGGTACTTCAACATTCACAAAACCGCATCAATAACTGAACATGAGATCGAATCCCAAACGTTGAGTGCCTTTGATCCGTATATCCGACTTGTATAGTCTCATCGGTGAGCTACTATTTTTATCCTGACACAGTTGACTACACACAGAACAACTTCACTTTGGGACTTCTGGAAATTTATCGTGAAGTTTATGAATACAATCTATTCTCAAGTCACCTCCATTAGACTGCGACCGAACTCACTACTGGTACTGTTCTCCACGATCATCCTGCCATCTTATTAGTTAAACTGTTAGAGTGTGTTGTCCTGCAAAGTGGATCATCGAACTCCTCTGCGAACCAGTTTAATTAGCGGTCTAAAATATTCAACGGTGTTATTAACTGAGACATAACAGATTTAAACTATCTTCAAGATGGCTACAATTCTGCATAATTTGTCTATCAAGTACAGATGTAGATATACTGAGCAATAAGACACTGTTTCTGTGACAGTAATTGATATTATTCGGCTCCTTAATCTGATGTAGGTGAAGAGAGATTCAAATAGATGACTTTCGGTTGAGAGACGAGTAATTTAAACATTTCTGTTAGGAATGAAATAAACTGAGACAGTGATGTATTGCGTTCTCAGTAGAGGTCTAACACTGACTAGCTCATGATTCACTGAAGGAATATATATTCGACGAGTTGACAATAAACAATCTTAATCATGAGTGTTCACATTACTAGAAATATGCTTCTAAGTTGGTAGACTCTCCTACATTGATTGACTCACTAAACCAAAATGCTTTGAATGATATGGATGAAATTGATGACAACATATAGTTTCCTCAAGAATTTGCACACACGCTTCACGATTTTCGACAGATGTTTCACACTTGAGACATCCCTTTTCAAAGACTAACATCTAGTTTCAAGACACATTGAGAGAAAGCAATCTAGTGTGTACTTTACTTATGTGACATATTAACGCATGCTTGGATTTGTAACTGACAAAGTCCCATAATCAACACCAAAGGTCTAGTTAATATATTACTAAATATCACTGTGTACGAACGCTTAAGGAGTATAAGATAAAGAAATCCTTAAAAAAACTTTGACTATACATTGTCCACATTATTGACAGATTTTGTGGGACTCGAGTACAGTTAGGTAGGTAAAGCGCAGAACAAGGAACAGACGTTGCTATGTTTGAAGAGACTGTGATATCACCTAAAAAACGGCGAAGGAACGAAGGTCTGCATCACAATAACAAGATAAGCTAAATTATTCCTATGTAGCCTAGCCCTGGTAACTAGAGGGAGAAAACCGGATTCGGAAGAGAAAAAAATATATTCCACAAGCAGCCAGAAGTATGAACAAAACAAGCACACAACTTAAGCGTATATATAGTATAAAGAGGTCGTTGGGAAACGTCACAAAATCGAGTATTAAAAGAGGCAATGAACCAAATGACATTTATTGTCCTTTTGGCACGAAAACGAGAAATTCAAACCTCCAAAATCATAAAAACAAGATGTCTACCAAGAGATTTATGGGGATCTAGCATCTCTAACAGACATAGCAGAAAAGCAAAATTATGTACTAACTTGTTGATACTGAATGATAGAGTTACACTTGGAGCAGTTTCAGATCAACACAAAACATCAGTATAAAAGGTTTAATAGACATGTAGGACAGTCATACTTTAAGGTGGTGTGAATCAATACTAATCAATCACTCATTAGGAACCTAAACACATTTTGAGAACCAATATACACTTTTATCATAACCTTAATAGATCGAACTCACATACGTTATAAACTATCCAGTGAACTATTCAGCATGAACATTTCTAATTGTTTAATTCAGCATGACTTAACTTTCTGAGTTATACTTATTAGAAGTTCTAGATAAGTGATAGTGTAATGAACGAGAACACAAATGAGGACAATCGAATGTATTTGAACACAAAATTATAGAACATCTTAGTCAAATTTAAGAACCATACAGTAAATACTTCATTTGCAAAATCTCAATCAATCGTCTCAGAATTCATTGTTCTTTCGCTTCCACACCAATCATGCTTTGTTTCTGTTCTCTTTTCTTTGATCTTTTCAACTTCCTGATACTAGGCATTTTACATTCGATACATACTACATATATCTGTTGACATCAGTAGCATAAACCACAATAGTCAGTCAGCAACAACGTAGAACTTTGTATATACATACATTAGTTCGAGTTGCCATACCACATTAACACAAAGATACCATTGTCTATTTGAATCCCATAGTGATAGAAGTAGTAAAAGTAAAAGAATTCAGAAGATTAGAATTCGGGAAAAAACAAAGAGTGAATGCACCTGCATTATTAGAAACAATTTTGATCCATATCATTCAAGGTCTATAACCATCAGTTGCTATCGTCTTGTGGCTCCCAACCAGGTAGTAATTCTTCACAGAGTATAAATATATCAACAAATAATTCATGGAAAATATATTGTATTCTAATTTCAAATAAAATCATACAGAATTTGGATTTTTTAAAAGATGAATCTTTCGAAGAAGAAGAAGAGCAAGAAGAAAAGGAGAATAGACATGGATTTTAATGAATTCAATAATTGATCAATGCCGGATGATCTGGTAAATGTGTGCGTACCATACTTTTAACTAAATTGAAATATGGTGAATCTTTTGTTTTAATTAGTTCAAATAACAATGATTCAGTTGTTGATAGTATTATACCAGTAGAATTTAAACGCTATTAAATAAAGAAATAGATTGAGAATAGAACATTACATTATAGAATATTACAACAGATGAAAGGGATTTGTAAAGATTGATTTAATTTGTAAGTTTGTATTTCATACACACGGATCCTAATTGAGGTACTTTTAAAAAAAAAAAACAAGAGAGTAATGGATAGATTTAAATCATGAGTCAGTTGAAGCTAGACCACCATTGAAAACCTGGAAGCACTGGACGGCTACTGGATAGCTACTTTATTCCGGATATAGTTGATCTTCATGTTGGGAGCGAAATTGTTATTACCAATGATATTAAATGATCATCGGACTATATTGCTAAATGAGACTGAAATTGTATCACTTGAATGCTAGCTATTCCTGTGGTTCATTAAAAGTACCGAAAGTTTCGTGTCATATCCCTGTTGAAGTTGTAGGCATGGATTGCTAAGAAGTCTTACACTAGGATGAAATAACTGCGCAGCCTTCCCTAGTTTTCAAAGGTACTCCAACTGAGATCGATATTTAATGAAAACAACGTATAATTCTAGTCCATTTTGAACAATCTCATACATTCGCAAATATGTATATATTTACGATCTAAACAATCACGACCTTACACCATTTAGATTTTGTAATTCAGTCATATTAACTTAACGAACTAGTTGATGATTAACCAAAAGGTCGATACATTTTTAATTTAAGCCACAAGTTTGATTTTTAATCAAATTAGTTAATCAACCCTATTTATTTTTATTTAAACACATAAACATTGGTACAAGGAGGAACTAAATACATATCCGCCACACAAGTCACTTGATTTGTGTGAGAGCTGTGATACTGTCCGGATGCCCAAATCGAAGCAGGTGGTTTTATTAGAGGGCCACATCCAGAAGCTTTGACCTAAAGGTCTAGTCCATAAGGCAGTGGAGCAACGTCACGAGATGCCGTCCCATGGTAACCGGTGGCCAACGATTGGTTTAGAATTAGGATTCTCCAACTACTTTAGGTGGATCCTCCGTATCTACTAGCCCGGTTAAAGCGCCGGATATTCGCTTTTCGTCCTCTCAATTTCGTAAACAACACCCCCGTTATGAGAAGGCAGTGAATAGGACTTCCCTGACAGTGCTTGTACGCACATGGTTACTTGGGAGCATTTGAAGAGGGTGAGCTGACTCTCCCCACTCTCGGCCGTACCGGAAAAAATTGTTCGCCAAAAGACTGGATATAAAATTCAATTATTTTCTACAATTTAGTCCCTCATATCATAACTTGGTAATAATACGATATAAATTTTATAATCGGTATTAAACCAATGTCACACAAACAATAATAAATTACTATAGGGCATAGTGTAGATTATTAAATTTAAAACTTCAAATCACAAATCGATTTTGATTAGACAGCCGATGAAAATCAGGAAACACTAGACAAATGTCTCGTTTTAGTATGGAACTCCTCAGTAATGTGTATCCACGACCCTGCCACGGATGGTACCCAAGACTTTCAAGCATTGTGCTGAGCGCTTAAACTTCCAACCACTAAGTTACCATTTACATTTTTTTGGTACATAATTTATCAGCAAGTTAGTTTTGCCAGTAATATAAACTTGATGTTAATGAGAAACAGTTTTAGCTTAGGAATGACAGAAGATTTAGTGACCTGTGTTAGTTCTAGCGGAGGATCTCTCAGTTGATTCAACTTTCTTTTGAATGCGTCGAAATATAGAGCTTTAACAACACATTCATGTAAATAATTCCACACGTTGATGATTCAATGAGAAAATAGATATTTAATCGTTGAAAAATTCACATTATATTAAACAACGATTAAAATCTTGTGATCAAGCCATTGCGTTGAAGGCACTCAATGAGTTCCTGAAGTATAACGCAAAGTTCATAGGAACGAAAACATCATTGGATTTTATAAAAAACTGTATCAAATCATGTCATTATCCGAAACTGTTATAATTGTAGAACCTGATGAGAAATTATTGCAAAGAATATTCTTCGTTCATACAATTGTGTTTTAAATAGATATTTAGCTAATATGTAACTGATTTTAGGCTTGTCTTCATAAATTCTCCATTTTTATTTTGAAAGACAATAAAAATGAACACTATACACTAGCATGTTATTGTTATGCTATATAATAACTCACTTGTAGAGCAATTCTCATATCAACAGCACTTCGAGAACTGCATGCATCGGCTACGATAACAACCTTATAATTTTCAGACAATAAATGCAGAGCAGTTTGAAGAATACATATATGTGCCTTAGAGAAAGAAGAAAAACGTTTGTAGAGTGACGTATATCTGAGAAAAAAAAATGATAAAACAGACTGCTGAAATCTGACAATTAATGCAACTTGGTGATCACTTAAAAGTTTATTTACTTAGCTTGAAGTTATACATCTTTTTGTATAACAGCTAATGATAATAATTTAGCTATAGGAATTGAATTACACGAGAAATTTTAACTAGTAATCTAATGAATGAAAGTCGACTAATCAACAAATCTAATGCACTAGACAGTTGAGCAATGTTATGAGATGCGGTCACATGGTAGTCAGTGATCAGCAATAGGTTCATATGCTATTTGTTTCTTTAGGATCCTGAAGCCCATGTGAACCACTGGTTTAGAACCAGGGTTTTTGAACTCCTCTAGGTAGATCCTCTTTATCCACCAACCCGGTTTAAGCATTAGGCGTTCGCCTTTCGTCCCATAGATTACGTAAACAACAACCTCGGGCGAGAAGGTAGTAAACAGGACTTCTCTGGTAGTGCGTATATGAGAACATTTGGAAAGTGAGAGCGAACTCTTCCCATTCTCAGCCACAGCAGGACATTTTAGGGCTAATCACAATGAAATTGAATTGATCCATTTACTAGATCCTTGAGTAGGAACGACACTTTAAATGTGATGGCTAACGATACAACCGGAATGCCTGACTTAAAACTGGTATAAGTATACATTTAACTCAATACTAATAATATTAATTCATGGAACAAACATGTAACACTTACTTCAAGTCCAAATAAAACAATGAAACGATCACGAAACTCAGCTAGTTTCTCAGCGATTAATCCGTGATACATAGAAAAAGAAGTTTTATCAACCACACATAATGCATGTGATATATCGAGAGAATCTGACGTCTTACCTAGACCTTTAGAATACTAGTAGTGAATAAAACAAAATAGGCAACATGAATATGACTGACAATAAAAAATCATCAAACCTGTTCAGTAACTAATAATGGGATACCCAATGCTTTGCCTAATTGTAACTATAATTATTATTTATAATTATAGACATTAACTTACAATGTGAGATATACGCAAATGAACATTATCCGAGTCAATAACAGTGTTTAATAAGCTTTTTTGTACGTCACACATGAGAAATACTGTACAATTTGGATCTAATGTCAGCATAGAGTTCGACATGTTCACAGTTAAATCACCCAACAAGTTATATGAGGAACCTTATTGGAAAGAAAATCAACTAAATTACGATAAAACACTGGAATATAGATCAATGTTTAAATAATTCAAAACGTTTTCACTCAATCTGTACAAATTTGAATAAATATCAGAAATCGATCACTCATAGATAATGTGAAAATCTTGGACGAATATGCTTTGGCTTAAACTGCTACGTCATACGTCACCAAATCAAGTAATAAAACTTATATTAAGATAATGGAAGACTAGTGAAAATAATATCTATTGAAGTAACAGTTAAGCCTAACAAAATATGTTTAAATTTATTTGGATTGTAGCTAACAGTGAAATACTAAATGAGTGACTCCAATTACGTAGAACTGGTTAATTGGTGAAGTACCTTTACCCGAGTTAATGTTCACAATAGGATCTATCGCTTCAAACGTCAATTTATTATTCACTGAGTTACTGAGCACAAATAGCCACTAATTTGCTCGATGGATATGAATAATTGCAATTTTTAAAACCAACGACATGAGTATACAAACCTTTACAAATAATCAGCATGTGTAATTGATTATTATGCGATCAGTCATAAAGGTAAGTGATCTTGTGATCAGAACTGTCACAAATATTATTAACAAAACGAACAACAATCTACAGTAAGCAAATCAAAGATTATTAAAAATAATTTTGGTCCAAACAGAAATAGAAAAACATGACTCGAGAAGATCAATGCATGAAATAACATTACAGTTAAAATACAGACAGACATCCACATAGAAAATTAAACTGCATGAACAAACTGTAAGCTCCCTAGACAATTATAGATTAACTTTTGCAAAATCATAATCGTTTATCAACCCGCTAGTAAAATCGTTGTCAAAGCAACTATCGGAAATTTATAACTCCTGGCATTCTATCATCCAGATATTTGAAAGCCCTCAACAGATATCATCAGACTATTCGAAGTAACAATATATTTTGAGTATAATAGATAAGAATGTTAAAAAGTAGTCCCCATTATTTCACTAAACTACCTTCATCATTACTTATATATGTGTGATATTTACAACTTACTAACCTATTTGGCACGTGATTAATTTCGAAATAATCTAGATATCTAACCGTTTATTTGAATAAATGTCAATTAAATTATTTGTATTTTTTTAGAAGACAGTGTAAAGTGACTTGCGAGATAATACGTTAATCAGAACAGAACTTCATATACAGTTACATATAGTGTAATGTTTGTATAAACAAGTCGTTTGATACGTTCGGGGATATCCTGACGACGGAGCATACCTGAACCAAAGATGTATGCTTACGATAGTTTGACTGTGGATGTTAACGAAAACCTTATAATACATTTTCAGTTATTATTGCAGAAAAAGGACTTCTAGATAATATGGCGACTACTGAGGCGGTCTAGCCTTTCGGTGTTATAAATGCGAACGACACAAAACAGTACAAATATGTGCTTCCACTAATTGTTCGAAATGAACAATGACGCAAACAGTGCTGACTGTTGTCAAGCGGATAATGAAAGCACAATTTAAGCATATAGCTGGTTTAAATGAAGTAACAGATGTTTCAGCAGTACAACAGTATTATTATTGCCTAGAGATATTCTAACATTATACTGAACCTAAATGTCGCTTGATGTTGTGAAGAGGGTTGGGTTAGGCACCAAATTTGATACTTAATATCAGGTAGTATGTCCAACCAGGGATGATGATCTACGCTGATGATAGAACTTACAAGTACCTAAGAAGATTAGGTTATCATTGTCGCTGAAGAGCACAAGCGACAGGGTGCAGATAACACTACAGGAATCCATGAAAATAACTTTGGGCCTGTGGTGACACCCGGAAGTTCCTTTGTCTACATAAAATTTCCAGAAGTCAAATGTTGTGGAGTTACATACACTACTTCTTTTAGGTTTTTATAAAAACGTTTTCCGCCCTACGTTACTATTTTCCTTATATTTTCGAGTGACGGATTTATACCCAGTATTATTTCGGAACATATCCCTTGACAATAATGATACTGCTGAAACACCCGTTAAATAACCTTAAGCAGTTTTATACTCAAGTGGCGCTACCACTATTCGCTTGACGAATAAATCCATCTTCACACCTACTTTAATGTTAGCACTCATACGCGCTGCGTTGAAACAAATGAAACATACAGGAGTAGATATGCATTAATGGAAGACGTTCTTAATGTCGTCTTGTTTGATAACCATACACGTTAGTCGCAACGAAGACGTATGATTGACACCTTAGTACTGTTAGTACTTTGTTGATTACAATCAAACTTTTGTAATTAGGCGTCTTCCACGCACGAAACACTCGATTATCATAAGCCAAAGTCTCAATGTTCTACACATTTTAAAAGTCGCTTTATCTGGTAAAGCGATTTTATTAGACGTCAAACAATAAGCGTAAATGTAGATTTTAAGTTAAGAACATTTTCAGGGACTCATTATAGCGAAAAATCCCATTATATACATTGTAGGCGGAAAACGAAACATTGAGATACCATGTCATCTACTCAGTTTAAGTTCGCTTTTATTTTCTCATTTTGTTCGCATATAAATGCAAAGAAACGCTGGAGATAGCTAAATGTCTTCGTACAGCTAGTCTCTTAACTCATGGAAAAATCCCCATGCTTAACCACACACCCCACTCGCGTTAACCACGTACCCCAGGTTCGAATTCACGACGTGACCTTGTGGCTGCAGTTTGAGTTAACATTGGCTCACCTTATACTAAGGTTAGACAGCACCAGTTTTCCATGAATGAACACTAAAATTAGTTTTCGTCGTATTATTTTTGGTGAACTGATTGTTCAGAAAAACAGTCTTTCCAAGGACAAGCGCTCCATACAATGTGGAACCTAGAGACCACTTGGCATATTAGGCTACCTTCTATTGCCATTAGATTATGATACAGTGTCATCATTACGTTGCTAAATCAAAGAAAATATCAGCAGAGTTCGTTGTTCCTGTGATTCTTGGATCACCTTGAGAAGATTACATTTCTGAACCTCATTACTTCATTTAGTCATTTATTCATCATTATTAGTTTTGATATTAGTTCTGCTGAGTAACGCACGAATATTCTCCAGATAAATATTTCACACTTTTTTAAGTCATGATTGGGGTACTTTTACCCAGTGAAAAGACAGATAATCAGGAGAAAAATACATTAGGTTGATCGGAATAACCAAATATAGCTATACAAATGTGTTTGTGAAGATAATTGTGAATGCCTCAGAAAAAAGGTTAAAATATGGGATCGACAAAGTGATAAGTGTTCAAAGACATCAACTGATGAATGGACAATTTAGAACACATTGCGTAAGGACCAACACTAATACATTACAATAGTGTTTGATAGAAGTTTGATTCTACCAAATTTCTCACAATACTAAAGGTGGTAATCTGGCGTTTTCTTAATATTGATTTTCTGAGTTCTGCTGAGATATTTTATTGCTGTTTCCGCGAGTCAGAACAAGAACTTATCATCCGCTTATCCATCAAGAGTCGTGTGACGTCAGTAGTATTCCCCCTTTGCTTATCCAGTTTTGCCCTAGGCAAATCCTTTAGATTAAATTGTTCCCTAAGTATTCGACATTGGTTTCGACTTCACTAACTTTAACAAGCACACACTAGATGGAGGAGCTCGGTCAAGCATCCACACCAAACCACGATTGGAGACACCGTGCTATGCAGCCCTTGCAGCAACTAGCCGGCCTGAATCATATACTTTTCGACATGTTAGCCATCAACCTAAATTATCTATCTCGAATGATTGAGGGAATACTCGAGTTAGTGAAACTATCACCTCGAGGACCAGTCCTTGGAACACGATTAATGGATGCGCGTTGCTCGTCCTTGACTTTGAAAGGGATCGATGATTCGTTCGATATTCAATGACCCAACTGTCGGATGATTTGGCTAAGGCTCGGTGAAATTTCATTGATTCTACACGCTAATTTATTGTGACTTGAAATGTCAATCGACACCATGTGATGTGCAGCTTCGTCAGAGTTCCGATTATTGACTTTCGCCAGTAGACCACAATAACACCATGAGTGGCTGAAGAAGGAGCAGACAATTATTTGTTTCACTGAAAGCCCACAACAAAGTGGATGAAGAGATGAAACAATAGGCTTTTTTGCTAATTTTGCCATAAAATATAAATAACAATAACCCAGTAATTCTAAATTTCCAATATTCGTACAGTTATAGTAGTATGCTTTCTCCGAATTGACATCCTACTAGTAGTCGCCACATAACATATTAGGTAGTTATGTAATGGCATTGGATCGTAAACACACGACCTTTGAAGTTGAGCATATTATTACCGAAAATATTTATTTTCAACAATTGATACGAAGAGAAGTTTAACAATGGAGAATGCGTCAAAATTCAAGTGAAATAAGTCGAAATACATGGATCATTCCATATGACCTGGATTTATTCACTTTAAATGTATTATTCTATCTTCAGCCTAAATGCGTTCTTTAAAAGCATCCTATTGCTAACTGTCACAACACGACAAGTCATTGTGGACAGTGATGTGAGTTCCACGTAAGACCTTATAAATTAGGTGGTCACATTATGATAAATCTACAGTTTTAGGGTTACATTTTTTATTAGAGCAATACTGATAACGAAGTAGATCACAATTCTGCAGTTACATGATAGAAAACATGAAATTTTATGATTGAATCTATCATTCTGTCAGTATGGATAAGTGCACTAATACCAACGTAGACGGAAACTTAATATAAGAGGGACTAACCAAAGAAACTCAACTCCTTGATAATTCTTACATTAATCTTGGCTCTAAAGATTGATCATTATTTGTGGTAACACATTTTTCTGTTAGTCTATTGATTAGTGCTCATATGTATATTATTATTACTTATAGTCACCTTACTAGTTCTATCGGTACTAATAACTTGTCCTCCGTAGTTATGATTAGCTAATATGGTTCATTAGCAAGCTTTATTAGCATTTGCATACCCCAGTGAAATTTGTTAAATAATTAACTATTAGAAAGCATGGAGCTTAAACTATGGAACATGCTACTTAGATTGACAGATATAAATAGCACATAACGCCGACAAGCTGCAAGCATGTCAACAGAATACTGAGATTGGATCGACAATAACGGAATTAGTTTTAATACTCGGTGCTTATTCTGCCCCTTTTTGACCTAAGTCATTTATCATACCTGGATTTTTATACATCAAATCTGCTGGATGATCTAATCCCACTAACATTTCAGCATGTTTCACTATTTCACCAGATGATTTACCACGTTCACGATACTTCAGAACTTGCATAAATCTTCACTTAGACTAGTAATATTTATTTATTTTCATGAATATTACTCTCGAACCCGTTTCTGACATGAGACATACATTCAAGATATTAACAAGTCCAATGAGTTTAAGACTGCCGTGAGCAACCAGTCCCAAACCTTCAAGATCCACTTAAAGAGGAGGAGACCACTATAAAGAACAACCATAAAATGAATTAGAGAAGCAGACATCAGATGTCAGGAAGTGCTGAGGCACAAGAAGCACTAGCATTAACAATGGATATCTATAGTTGCCTAGGGTAAGACTCAGTAACGGGAGAACAGGAAGACGGTAATCGACAATAGCCGAATAAATGTAATATAATATAATATAATATATTTCTGCATGTGCAGGTACACACCGTTTTTACAGGCATGATCTATAAATTACAACATTTGTTGGTTCACAAAATGTTTCCCAACTTATTAGGTTTATAGTTGTTATAAAGTGAAATCGTAGAGCGCTTGCTGTAAACTATGACCTTGAGAGGACGCGTACATCAAGTTTGTTCCAAACGTCAGAAGTTTCATAGCTGTGCTCTCAGAGCAAGATTCTGAGGAAAAAAGAGAAACAGAAGAGCAGCAAGGCACTTGGATATGAACGCAAAACGTTGCTTAACATAGTGTAGTAGAACGGACAGAGGTATAATAAATTAGAATAAATTCATATTATGTCTTGTTAGTGAAATGAAGTCAGAGGCTCCATATTAGAGAATGTACTAATAAAGAACAATGAGTTGTGATGTTTAACAAGTTGGAGTAAGCTCACATGAAGGAAAGGAAGTCAAGGCTGTTACTAGGAAAGCGGTTTATAAGAAGGGTGTGTATATAGAGAGTGAAGTGTTAAGAATATTAATGACTACATCTTTTATTGTCTAACTTTTTTTTCTTTTTTTGTTTTTCCGATGCCAGCCAAACAATCCTAGTGTAAAAATCCGAGTTAACATGTTATGGGTTGTCTTAGTAGAATAGCTAATCCAGCATAATATTGGAAACATGAGTTTGAGTGGTGAGCGTAGGAAAACAATCTATATCACAGATTGATTGAATTATTCTCAGTCATGAGGAGCCTGATACATACAAAATGTTCTGTCCCCACAATCATGGGTGGATTGAAGTTATCGTCCTCACCATCAATGCTTGCTGGTCAGTAACTCCACCCTCCCTCCTTTTGTGATGTTAGGCTCATTTAGCATTATTTTTGTATATACGTCATACCTCGCACAATCCTCTGTTTCACAAACTGTTGGAAAGCACTATTTCTATAAGTACCATTTTACAAGCTTATCAGACAGTTACAAGCTATGGACTGTGGGTAAAGCATCGATGCAGTGCCTCTGTTGATTATAGTATAAAGTATAGTTTGCCAATCAGAGTATAAGCGTTAAGAAGGGTATATTGTAAGATAGTTGTTTATTTAAGCAGGCGGAAAAAGTATAGAAGTATATGAGTTGTGGATATGGGAACGAGTGGAGAAATAATATTAAGTGCTAGTCAACATAGTGTATTGAAGAGTAAAAAGTTAATACAGGATAAACAGGAAGGAACTCACAGTAACTTGTTGCTGATGTTATTTTCTGTTGTCCTAACCAGTTGATTGGTAACAGGCTCCATAGATGCAAGACCACTGGTAGTAGCCAGCCGATTGTGTGGTCCTCTTGACGTTTTAGGGTGGTAGTGAGTGTCCCTTATCGACCGAGTTTATTTTAACAGTAATGATAGGTCCATTGAGTTACCTGTCTACTTCAAGTGAAGAAATAGGGTGGGAAAAGTAATTAATACAACTGCAAAGTAGGAAAAATAAGGCAAGCTGAACTTGAAGTCCATTTTGATTTTTGATCTAGACATGGAGAGAGCCTATGATGTCTGAGTGGGGCGCAGATGTGTTCGTACGTGCAAGATCAGTGCAAGTGAGGGCTTGATCAAGCAGTTTTACAAACGTATGTAATTAATCTGCCATGCGAGTTTCGGAGGGAAGACTGTTCCACATTATTGCATACTTGGTGAGGAAGAAGTTTTCCCGAGTTTTTGATCTGTATTTCTCAACTTTGACCGTAGATACTTTGTTTCGAAGTCCGTATTCATGTGAATCTCGGGCAAGAATTATCTTACACGTTGAATAAGTAAGGTTTTTGAGTAGTTTGAAGTAGAGAATCAAATTAGACCTAAGCCTTCTCTTCCAAAGGGGTGCTATTCCTAAGATTTGGCATCGGGAACTGTAGTCAATGACCAAGTCAGTCTTAATTACCTTGCGAGTGAAGTCTCGTTGTATTCCTTCCACCTTTAGTATATCAGATACGCGTAGATTGGAAAATAAGAACGAGCAGTATTCAGCGATAGGTCTTACACAAACTTTGTA